CAATATATACTTAACTGAGTACAAATAATAATTCCATTTTTCTTTCAGAAGAGGTTTTTGAAAATCAATAAATATCACTGATTTCTACCAGTGAAGGATACTTCCTTTTTAATGTCAGTATCATAGAAGATAGAGTTCCTTAAGTAAAATTTTATTTCCCTTGACTCTTAGACACAAGCATTACTCCTGTGTCTTTGTAGTGCCTCTCTGATGGAGCTTAAAATGGTGCTAAATCTTGTGTAATCTGACGACCCTTGGGATTATGTTGCTAGGAGTCTAGTTTCTGGTAAACTCTCCCTTAACAAACAGGGATGAGTAAATATTCAGTTAAAAATGGTCAAATTTTAGCCAGATGTGGTGACACATGGGTCTCTTATCATAGAGCTTGGGAGGCAGTAGTATCCTAAGATCAAGGCCAGCCTCTGCAACTTAGGGAGACCCTGTATCAAAAATAAGAAGCAAATTTGGATTGTGCAGAGGAGAGGGGAGAGGGTGTGGGGATGAGAAGGATGGTAGAATGAGAGAGACATTATTACTCTATATATATGTGTGTGTAATTAGACTATTGGTGTGACTCTGCACTATGTGTGCCAGAGGAATTAAAAGCTGTGCTCCATTTGTGTGAAATGTGTCAAAATGCACTCTACTGTCATGTGTAACTAATTAAAACAAGTTATAAAAACTTAAAAAAATAAGAAGCAAAACAGGCTAGAGATAATGAGCTGGGAATGTAGGTTAGTGGTAGAATGCCACCTAGGTTCAATGGCCAGTACCAAAAAAATAAATAAAAATAGTCATTTAAAAAAAAACAACTAGTGAAAATTGCTGTGACTAGACAGTATACTGGTATCTTGATCAATTTTATGTACAAGGATACATTCCCATCCTTATGCCTCTATTACAGGTTCTACTTGTCAAATGTTATGCTTGTGATCATTTGTGATATTTGAAGGTAATGTAGGGTTGATTCATTTGCACTATTTTATCAGTTTGCTTCATATAGAAAAGTATATGGGTTGACATGAATATCCCCTGACTATGCCTGATGCTATGACCTTAACAGGGAAATAACTGTGACAAAACTACCTCAAGTGTGGTGGGCAAATGCAAAGGGTGTTGAATTGTCATAATGAAATAATGACAATTGACTTCCTTTCTAGATAACAGGTGGCTGATACCACATATTGCTTCAAGTATGGAGTTGAAAATTCAAAACACCAGATACCAAAATATTGTTGAAGCAGAATAACTAGGCCATGAAAATAATTGCAAGCATTGATTTAATTTTTATACTGATGAACCTTTGTGAAATCCAAGGGACATTCACTAAAAATACCAACTCAGATCAACTGCAAACCAGAGTATCAAAAAGTTGGCATAGGGCTGGGGCTGTATCTCAGTGGTAGAGTGCTTGCCCGACACATGTGAGGCAGTGGATTCGATCCTCAGCACCACATAAAAATAAAATAAAGATATATGTCCATCTAAATACTAAAAAATATTTTTTAAAATGTTGGCATAGAATGGATTAAGTGATACTTTGAAGGAAACTTTTGAAATAAATTGTGCCAAGCAGACCAAGCAACTGAATCAAAAACAGCTGCATACCAACATGACATGAGACTCTTCTGTCTCTGGAAATTAATCTGCAGGCTGCACCATCTAGATTTCTATCTGAAGATGAGACAACTTTCATCACTAAACACTCAACATTCATGGAGTGATGGGCATAGCACTTCAGCACAATTCATAATTAACCATCCAACTCACCCTTATCATTTTTGTAACATTCCCTCATTTTATGAGGTGAGTTAAAGACATTGTTATCTATTGGACCTATTATGAAGGCAAAGGACCATCATCTGATACAATAGTGAGTGCTAAAGAAATTCGTATAAAAACAAAAGCTGCAGCCCCAAACCCAACAAACGATTGCTTCAGTTATTTAACCACTCATGGAAGAAGAAATAGTACACAGATGAATTTCATGGTGTTTAAATTATACAAACTCAAGAGGGGTAGTAAATGGTGTGGTAACTACTGAGGTATGTTTTTTTGTGTATTGTAGCTATGACAGTGGCACTACCCTCATAGGTCAATTACCCTCAACTTGCCATAGCTTTCATGCATATTGTGGAGAAGAAATAATAGAAAAGGGAACTACAAAGCTTTTGTGTAGACATGGAACTCTGATGAATGTGCTATCTAAGTGGCAAATTAAATAACTGTTTCAAAGACTCTGTATATTTGAAAAATTAAGTTTTTCATTAAAATTTGAGGATGTAAGGATTATGCAAATTATCTTTACCCATGTGACTGGCCATCAGGATATTAACACAATGCACAAATTATTTTTAAAAAACCAGATACTGTGAGTAGACAGCTTATTTAAATAATAAAGTGGTTATTTTTATCCATTAGCTGTTACTTAGTCTCTGAATTAAACATTTTCTAAGCTTTAAAGTGCACTATGCATTTTGAAAACAAATGCCTTCCATAATATTTTCTTTAAAATATTTAGTTTATAGAACTCTTTTGTCTTTAAATGGGAACCATGACCTAAAGTATATCAATGCTTAGGAGGGTCACATATCTCCTGCCACATTCTGGGATGCCTACAAATACAGAATCTACGAAGAACTCTATAACAAAGAGAAAACTACAGAAACAATGATACTTAGTGAGAAGAACTGTTATCATACTCATAGCAACTGAATTTTAGCATGGAACATGAATTTGTAGTTTTCTATAATAAATTCTAATTAAATAAATTTTTAATATCTTTATTTTTTTAAATTTATTTTTATGTGGTGCTGAGGATCGAACCCAGTGCCTCACATGTGCAAGGCAAGCACTCTACTGCTGAGCCACAACCTCAGTCCCACTAAATAAAATTTTTTGATGCACTCCTTAAAAAAATTTAGTTGAGGAGCTGGGGTTATGGCTCAGCGGTATAACGCTTATCTCACACATGCAAGGCCCTGGGTTTGATCCTCAGCACCATATAAAAATAAATAAACAAATAAAATTTTAAAAAAACCATTTAATTGATAGAACATGACGTTTCATTTAATTCACTTTTGTAGTGATGCATGGTTTTTCATTTGTGTTATGTTTTTGGCATTCTCACAATTGATCATGAAAATAAGGTGGAAAAGTTGTTAGGTAGAGTGAGATGAAGTCACTCAAGGTTCATAAGATTCAGGAGCCCAAGGTCAAGTACAGTTGAGGGGTTAGGAGTATACTCCAGATCTTCAGAAACCACATACATAAAGTGCCTAGTGCAGTGGACCAATCTGAGTATGAACGGGATGAAAAAGTTGCCTTTCCCCAACCCTGACTAGTGCACTCTTGCACGTGGAGGCACTGCCTAGTCCTACAGTAGTAGATTGAAGTAATATACAAACAACTGTAAATGAAACATGAATGACCCCAAAATAAAGAAAGCAAAATAAGTCCTTTAGTCATAATGTATTTTGCAAATAAAAGGAATTCTGAGATTTTCAACAGTAGGAATTACCTTTACCATAACAAGTTTCCATTCTTGAACTAGAATGATCTTCAATAAAAACTAAGAACTTGAAATAAGTTAAGAGTAACTACTGAAGTGCACGTTGAATATCCCTAATCTGAAAATCCATAGTGCTCCCAAATCCAAAACTTTTTGACACCAACAAGATGTCAAACATGGAAAACTCTACAACTGACCTCATGTGACAGGTTGTAGTCAAAATGCTGTTGCACTAAAAATACTATATAATTTCATGCTTAGACTTGGATTTCTCAAGATATCTCATTACATACATGTGAATTTTCTACAGTCTGAAAAGCTCAGAAATCTGAAACACTCCTGATCCCAAGCATTTCAACTAAGGGATGCTCAACCTGTCGTATATCTTTTGAGAAAATGTTTTCTGAAGAAACTTTCACATCAAAGAATACATCTCTATTAGCCAATGCCACCATAAATAAAAATATTAATGAGGTAAAACTGGTCATGATGAGGGTAAAACAATATCAAGAGATTGAAAAGTTTCTTGTTAAGCTTAATTCATTTTAACATATTTTGAAAAAACATCTTGAATGCATCATAGAAAATCTTATTAATTAAGCCAAGAATCCACTAGTATTTTTGCTCCTATGCTTTGATTTTGTACATCTTTATCCTTAATTTAGGGATAACTATGAATAAAACATGAAAATCAATGCATCTTCTTGTTCTGCAATCATATATGTCCTATTCTACATAATACCTCATCTTCCTCATATTTTGTTTATATTCCAGTATAACATTAATATTTGAAGACCTTGGTTGTAGAACTTTCCTTATAAAATGTAGTCACAAATCTGGATTTGGTCAATTAGGTATTCAAGAAGAAAATTAAATGAACCTAGTGAGTTTATTTTGTTTTGTTTTGCAGTGCTGGAGGTGGAACTCAGGATCCTGTATATGCTTGGCAAGGGCACGACTGAGCTACATTGCCAGTCTGTGAGCCTAGTTTTATAGTTATGTCTTTATGTTAAAGGTTCAAAATATACTTTTAGTAAAAATCTTCTAAATGCCATAATTTTCTTCCTGAAAAGTAAGATTTTCACCTTATACTATTCCAGTCTGGCTTTGTCTATCCTCTAAAAACTGGTCTCTGCCACATGTATTTTTATAGTATGGATAATCAGCTACATTGTAATTTGGTAAAAGCTTCTCTAGGTTATATGAGGATTTCTATTACTGTGTTCAAAATCTAAATCCATTTTTTTAAAAAAGCTAACTATTAGCAAAACTATATCTCTCCTACAAAAATTCTTGTATCTATCTTTGTAAGGGGTGAGTGAGCTTTAGACTGGCTTATTTCTATAAGCACAAAGTCTACATTCTGTTTTAAAAAGCAAAACTTACCAATTCCATGCTGTTATTAATTTTAAACATTTCACAGCACATCATATTTTGAAAAACATAGAAATCAACCAATTTAAATTACGTGCATTCAAATGGTGCTCACCTTTAGAGAATCAAAACAGGCTACCACACGACCATTTTCCACATGGCAAACTCTTGGTGGATGGGCAAACTTGCAATCTGCATCAGGTCGAGAGCAAGTTCCTCTCTGAAATTCTCTGCAGACTTCTAAAGTCAGCCACTTGGTATCACGAATCAGGGCAACATTGACAGCCGTCATATTGAAAGCAAAATTATAATCAAGTGCACCCTCTTTAGGAGAATATCACTATGGATTGTTAAAGGACTAAAAATGAATTAGGGGTAAATGTGAAAGACACCAAGTTGCTTTGGCAGAATGTCTATTTGTTAGCACTTAGGTTTCCATTTAAGTCAAATCTGATCTAGTCAAATAAAAAGTCACTCATAAAATCAAAGTTGTATCAGAATAACTAAAAATCAAATTAGAGACCAACTCCTAAGAAGGCAACTGTAAAGCTTATAGATATTGAATGGTTTATTTTGTTCCTTTGCTGAATTTGCCTCAAAAAAACTGGCAGGCTTTCAAAAGAATTCTGTGCTGTCTAGTTGATGTTTTCAATTATTCTTATAAAAAGCATATGCTGCTTGCTGCCCTTCAATTTGTGCAAGGGTCTCAGATCAGGGAGAGAAAAGTTTTTCTCCCTATTTCTTAGTTCTAAAGAATAAGACTGGGGAAGATGTTACAACCCGAAAACCAGCTTTGCTGCAAAATTGAGGGGCAAGAAAATGACTAAGAAAACTGCGAATCACAGAAAAAAAAAATGGACAAGTTGCTGACAAGTGAACTACAAGCACGCCAGGTTTTGTAGGAGGCAGGGAGCGGGGAAGGGTGTGGCAGGGAGAGGGGTTGGTAAAGAGACAGCTCTAGAGTAGAATCCAAGCAGCAGAGTTTTCAGAAAAGGCACTTTTCAGAACCTGCAAGAAAAAAATAAATAAAATTAGCTAAAATACTACAATGCTTCCATTTCAAACTCTAGATTTGGAAAGAAAAGTAACCATATTCTATTTAGAACAGGAAGCATCTACCTACTGACGGTGCAACAGAGTACAGTCAGCTCTTGTAAATAAAAAGGGTATTTCCCAATGTAAAGCTATGCACAGTAAACGAAGCAACTGCTTAGATTTGCTGCTGTAATACAAAACTGGGCAACAACCCAAACTTTTAAATGTTATTATGTTTTACCTGGTTAAGGTAGAAATTCATTTTGGTGTCCACTGTGCAGAAAATGTCACAGCTTAACATGACAGTCCCTTATGCATTCATAATCCACTTGTGTATCTCCAGTTTTTAGAGGCTATCATCAAAAACCTGTCTTTAAACTAACTTTATTATGGTCTGATTAAAGGCTTGACCTTTAATCAAGCTCAGTGATAGAGCATTTGCCTAGCATGTTTCAGGCCCTGGGTTCCATCCCAGGCACCACCAAAAAAAAAAAAACAAACTAAAATTGATCATTTTTTTCCAATAGCAATAGGAATTGCTAAGAAAATTTAAGGTGTACTGAGAAGTTCCTTCTATGTGTATTGAAAATATAATCATTGAAAATCCATAAAAGAGTCATGACACAACTAGTTGGAGACTCACTTTATATGAGGTAGTGTGGAGAAATGAAATGTAAAATGTGCTTTGTATAAAAAAAATTCTTTGAAAAGATCCCATATTTTTTTTCTCATGGGAATATTGTCCTTATGAAGGGAAATCAGAACAGCTCAGAAGATATTAGCATACAGATATAAGTGAGACAGAAAGCACTGTTCAGTAATATATTAAATATTGTGCAGCTTTAAGGTTTGAAGTTTAACCCAGTGTCATGCAACTCAGCTGAGAAGATGTATGAAAGGTTAATCTACTAGCAATAAATCATCAACATGTGTCAAAATACCACTGAAGGAAAAGTAAGCTCTGAGTACCAGACTAGTCAAGTAATTGTTAAAGTCATCAAGAAGTGAAATTAACGTTCTTGAAAATATTTCATTTAACCTTTTGAACAATACTTTCAATAAGTTCACAGAATCTGCTTGTCCTTTCTAAATTCTGGAGGAAATTTAATATTTCCTGATATTTCAGATATCAATGGGGAATTAAATACCTGGCAAATTCATGCAAGCTTATTTATTCCAGAGCCAAAAATGTTTTTCTCTAAGTCATTCTTTATGGAAATCTTTCTAAAATGTATTGTAAATAGCTTTGTCTTCTTAAAAAGTATTTAACATAAGTTGGCCTCTGTTAAAAACTTGGAGTCATTAATGTCTGGGGAAAGATTACAGTGCTTCTTCATCGGTGGCAGACTATTAATTGTTACTTCGTATGTCACTTCACTTGCTGCCTTAATATCTGCCATAGTGAATTTTCTAGATCCATTCTGGAAAATCTAATGGTCAATCATAAATGTTGAATAAGAGTTAGTTACTGAATGAGGGGCCTAAGGGACAAGATAGGGATTTTGTTGCGAATGTTCTATAATGAATCCTAACTGCTTGGAGCGTCCTTTTACAATACACTACATGCAGAACTGTGGTTCAGAGAGTTACGGTTGTCAGAGAAATGACCTCTAAAAAACACAGTAATTTAAAAAAATCCTGATGAGGTAAATTTAAATCAAAACCACAATGCAATAAATACCGCTTCATAACTAGCAGGATGGTTATAGTGAAAAAAGACTGAAAAAATGAAAAATTGGAATTTTCATACATTCTGGGTAGGAATGTAGAAGAGTGCAGTTGCTAGGGCAAACAGTTTGACACTTACTCAAAATGTTAAAATTACCTTATAATCTAACACTTCTATACCTCAGTATAAAATGAAAATAATTTAAACAAGATTCAAATGAATCCTTGTATGCTAATGTTTATAACAGCATCATTCACAGGAGCCAAAAGATAGAAACAACCCAAGTGTCTACCAAAAGATGAATGGATAAGAAAAATGTATTATGTCTGCACAATGTAATATTATTCTGCCATTAAAAGAAATGAAATACAAATAGTTTTACAACATGGTTGAACCTTGAAGATACTATAGTAAGTAAAATGAATCAGTCACAAAAAGGCACATATTCTATGATTCCATTTACATTAAATGTCCAGAATAGCCAAATCCACAGACAGAAAGTAGACAAGTATTTTCCAGGAGCTAGGAGGCGGGGAGATACGGGGAGGACTATCTAATGGGCAAGGAGTCTTTTTATGGGGGTAATGAAAATGTTCTAGAATTAGATAGTGATGATGGTTACACAATATATTAAATATATTAAAAAACATTCATTAAATCATATACCTTTTAAAAAATTAGTGAGTTGGGTAGTGTGTAAATTATGTCTCAATAACTGTTTTTAAGTCTAAAAAGACATGATAAGCAAAAAATAATAATAATCCTGATGAGTGTTAGGATTGGCTACCTCAAGCTTTCTTAGATTCTGCACAAAAAAAATTTCTCAGTAATGTTGGTTACTAAGTTAAATTTCAATAGTAAATCAGTTTACATACTGTAACTGCCTTGATATGTCATGAACAGTACAATGAAAGAGTGTGTTCTGGGGAGTTGTAAGTTTATATTAGAACTTAATCCTACAGCTAAATTATATAGGCTGTCTGAACACATTTGAAAGAAAAATAAACAAAAAAAGGCAAAATATATATATATATAGGTTGAAGATTTGCTCAGAACATAAACATAAGGATCTGGAGAAAATTTCTATGGAGATCCATCAAGTAGAGAAACAGATAATAAATAATAAATTTGAATTTTGAACTTTTACAAATGAAAAGTGCAAATGGGAACTGGCCTCTGGCCATGCATTTTATGTAACATCAAGAATGAGAGAAGAGGGATTTTTTACTTTGGCCTGTAACCTCAGATGGGACCCTGGCCAATTCCTCAAAGCAGTTCTAGCCAGCACATGTCTTCCTTCTGACTGGAAATATTTAGTGGGGCTACCTCAGAGGAAATTAGGTGCATCAAGTAAAGGGAGCTGGTGTGAGGAGGGGGAGAAGTGCTCTTATGCAGCTCTGCTTATCTAACTCTGTATAAAGGACAGAAAGAGATGCCAGTTTCCCCTGTATTTTTCTTCTTCTTCTTCTTTTTTTTTTTTTTTTTTTTGGTATCGGGGATTGAATCCAGGTGCACTTAAGAACTGAGCCACATCCCCAGCTTATTTTGTATTTTATTTAGGACAGGATCTCACTGAGTTGCTTAGTGCGTCACCATTGGTAAAGCTGGCTTTGAACTCACAATCCTCCTGCCTCAGCCTCCTGAGCCACTAGGATTACAGGTTTGCACCATGGTGCCTGGCTTCCTATATTTCCTGTATTTCTAAGAAGGTCAGGTTTGTTTGAGGGGACAGCACAGCTTTATCTTGCTGAGTAACAGGAATATGTTTTTGCTTTTTGTGATTTCTAGTCCTGTAAAGTAGAACATGGCAAATTACCATTTCTTAATGCACTTGTGCTTTATTGTAATTGAAGTTCACAGGTGCTTGTATTGCATCAATCTGTGGATCTCTCAAAATATTCCATTCCTTTTTTGTGATGCTGTGCATCAAACCCAGAGCCTTGTGCATGTTGTCTCAAAAATACTCTGAAGCATTATTGATAACTCAAATATGCCTATGAAGGAAATGAAGTTCATAGAAGTTAAGTTACTTATTTGAGGTTTTTAAACCTTAAGTGGTTAAACCATGTCTCCAAGCAAGATCTTCTGACTCCGAATCTTGTGTTTGGGTCCTGATAGAGAAATGTTAGGCAAGACCATTTATCTCCCCTGGGAATCTTAAACAAAGAAAATCAGTCATTTTTGCAGAATACTTATGATTCCTTCTCAAAATTGCATTCTTACCCAATGGATCATCACTTTCACAATATCCCTGAGTTATGCTGAGCCAATATTATTTATCGAGTATCTACTATATGCTAGTCACTATGCTACACATTGAACAAGACTGCTAAGGTCCCCACTCTCACAGAACTTGCTATATTCATTTAAATAGAGAAGTAACGTAAGGCACAGAGAAGTGAAATGATTATTAAAGTTTATGAAGAGCTAGAAGTACACACTAGGTATTCTGCCTTCGACACAAATCTCTATAACACTCTTAAACCTACACTCAAACACTATTGCATGGGAGTAAGAGAGAAATACCTGGGAATTACTCACAATAAATTTTATTGCTATCCAGATTCCTCTTGGAGAGGGTACTACCATTCTCATCTTACAGATAGGGAAATAGAGGTAGAGAAATGTTAAGTGATTTAATTTGCACAACTTCATGTAGGTAGTAGGTGATCAAGCCATGGTTCAAACTAGACAACTGACTCCAGAACCCACTCTATTAACCAGGCCTCAATACTGTGTATTGCTTATGGCACAGGTCACATTCTTCCTTGGTGTAGCTGCTTCGGGTGTTAGAACATTCCCCAGAATTCTTTTTAAAAAGATATTAAGATTAAATATTTTGGGAGGATAAGATAGGAGGATCACAAGTTCAAACCCAGCCTAGGCATTTTAGCAAAGCCCTAGGCAACTTCAAAATGAAGGGCTGGGAATGTGCTGGTACCTCCCTGGATCCAATACCCAGCACCAAAAGAAAAAAACAAAAAAGATTAAATGATAATTTAACACTAACCCTTCTGCTATTCCATGCTAGAAAGAAGTTTTGTCATTGAACACCCCCTGGGCTGGCTGAGCTTTGGCCATATCCCTAGGTTTTGAATTCCCTGGACTTAGAAAGTTGAATATTTTCTCACAATTCTAACCTTCAAATTGAGATAATAGTACCTGGAATTCTTATTATACAGTATATTAGACTGCCATCAAGGATGGTCTATTCCTGATCAGTTGATAGCAGCAAGATCTTATAAAATATGGAATATGTAAATAATTCCCATATTTATATTTGGATATAGTAGGTGAATCTTTG